TAATAAAAAATAGATTATTATAGATAAGATTGAAATTATTACACAGTATTTTTCAGTGTGAACGCCATTATTCGAATTTTTTAAAAATGCTACCTATGATTTTATTAGTTGCAAGTACCCATTTCGAATGTTTTTATGTTTTTGACTGAAAAACAATCGATTGCCTATAGTAGATGTCAGGGAACCCAAGGTGTTGAAACCATAGACTGTGTCTGGTCACTCTAACATTCCGTCCTCTGGCTTGTTATTAGTTTTATCGTGTCTCGGTTCGCGCTTGAATTCCAGTAAGTGAGAATATCTGACAAAATCAGGGAGGAATTCGGTGTTATTAATGCTGTTTTAGAAATTTGTAATTGACATTATAACAGTATTGATGTATAAGTGGATGGAATAACTGTAATAGTCGAAATAAAGAATTTCCGTATCACTGTTTGTTCACTAATTATAGTTCGGCGGTTGGAGATTTTTGATCACATTGTATTTTATTCTCTAGGAGGACATCGATATTCCAACTGCTACATTGTGTCAACAAGAAAAATGTTACATGTGCAAAACTGGTATTTTATTCCAGTCATCGGGGGAGGAGCAAGAAGAGGATATTCTTTTTATCTCTTATCCTTCTAAACATGTTTAACCCCAGATTGTCCTTTGAATCAATTGTGACTTTCACAGTGGACCGACGCTCTTCCACTCGTCCTACTAGGTATCCCCAATGCAGTGAAAGCTGACATTGGATACACTGCGGCTCAACTCGTATATGGAACGACGCTTCGACTTCCAGCAGAATTTGTGGATCCTTCATCCTCTTCAGTAAGCATGGATCAAACATCCTACACGAACAGGCTTACAAACGCAATGCGTTCAGTTAAACCTGCTTCCACTCGACCTCAATCAACCGATGTTTTCGTTCAACCTGACTTACGATATAGTACACACGTTTTCATTCGTCGAGACTCGCATCGACGACCATTCGAATCAGCATACGAAGGACCTTTCAAAGTTCTTTAACGCGAACCGAAGTACTATATAATCGATAAGAACGGAACCAACGATAGCATCAGCATCGATCGCCTCAAAGCAGCGTATTTAGAAGGAAATCCTATCTAAGTCGATTTTCCTTCGGTACAATCGAACGACACGACTCCACTCATAATTCCTCAATCGACAACCAACACATGCGATGATACTCCGAATGTATCTGAAAATAAACTTAAAACGACGCGTTCTGGAAGAAGAGTAAGCTTTCCAGAACATTTAAACGACTATTGCACGTAAGGCACTACTAGACATTTAATATTATCTCGATCTTTCTTTTTACGATATATAATATATATTTTAAAAAACTTTATTATGCGAATATATTTTTATTTCAAAAAAACAAAAAACCTTATAAATTTTTTTAACGATATAACATGTAAATTAGTTTATATTCCAATTTTTTCGACGACATTGTGTTTTTACGCATATACGAGTGTATTTCGACATACACTTACATTTTATTTTTTCTTTTCCAGGACGGCTGGAAAAGAACGATGACGTTTATGGGGAGCTGAAATTTTCATTGTACATTTTCTTTTTTTACTGTTGTACCTCGGTCCCATATAGTAAGGAAAGACGACCAGACGCTGCTAATCCTAGCAAGCTATCAGAAGAGTGTTTATCAACGACAAACTCGCTGGGTTTAAACTTCTGGCTGGCCACGTTTTAGGGTCATCACTAACCCACTAGGGGGGGGAGTGATCTGTAGCGGTAAATAAATCCCTAAAATAAATAGCTCTGTGAATTTTCGACATTGGATGCTGACCATATGTTTTAGTGGACTCATCTAGCTGAAGGCGCTCGGTCAGGCATCTGCACCAGATCACGTGTGGTAACGCCGTGCTCAACATCAACCACAATCGCTAGCCAGATTAGATCAGAGAATTCCGATATATTGGTCATCGCCAAATATACTCTTCCGATCTCCTCGACTCTGTCCTTTGATTTCTCTGGGTGGGAACGATTCATATTAGAAGGTGTTACTGGTAGAAGCGTTGCCAAACACTGAATACCTGTGTCATCTTCAGCATCATTCCTAATTATTATTGCACAAATATTTATACTAATATCCGGTTTCACTCTGCATACTATTACATATATCTAAATGTATTCATCCGAGTGCACTAAAGGATTTTTATTTTATTTTTCTCAATTGCTGGTTTACTTCTGAGGTCGATATTCATTACACAATTATTATTCTTATCATAGATGAACCTTTTCATCAGGTGTCCACTTCTTTTCTCTTTCCTTTTTCCTTTTAAGCAAATATTCTTCTTAAAATTATGACATTTGTAATTAAAACAATAACTTGTGTTACATTTAAATTCACTTTTCAGACCCGTTTCATCTTCACTATGCATATATGACTCATACATATTGATATTTCGTTATCCTTTTCATTTAGTTGAGACTTTCATAGCATCACTCCAAACTATAACTTCACAAACATTTATTCCAGCGTCATATCTTACTGCGATAATAAGTTATTTTTTATTAATCATTTTTTGTTACTAATTTGACGATATGAACATGGTCGTTTATTTTTGTTCTGTGTTCATAAAAATGCCTACTAAAATATTTGCGTAATTCACGTCTCCTTTATTTCTATTCCCTTATTTTCTCCATTGCCTTCTTTAATACCAGTTCCCTAATCTTCTCAATTACACAGACCCGATTTATTATTTTTAATATTCTTTTATTTTTACTCTATATCTTTTAAATATGGCAAGTATAATGCTAACATTAATGAAAATTGTGTATTGTTGCATTTTCTGAAGAAACCCGAAATGGTTTCTTCACAACACTTACGTACCCATAAGATGTTTGTCAATAATAATAATAGGTCTGTTCTCAGTGGTGAAATCGAAGTAGTGGGCAGTTAGTACAGGACACGTACTTATTGATTTGCGCTGGTAATGGAATGGAGAAAGAATTTCAACAAGTCATAACAATTATAGTGCCTCAGTAGATCTGGATGGTGAAAACTAGAACACATCTACATCAGAGTCCAGCACGCGGATTCCATGTCTTTCACACCATAACAACATTGCTGAACTCAGCTATAATCTCGGTTCAAATGTTACATCTGACGCAGAGCGCAGACGGCATGATAATAATTTAAACTTGATTTTGCTAGGTAAGACGATGGATAGAAAGCCAGATGACGTATTTGAAAACTAGGTCATACTGAGTTGGATATGTAAAGTAATCTTGTCCTACCTACGAATTCAAGAAGCCGCTATTAAATGATACTCTGCAATAACTAAGCCAACAGTTTGGCGAAAACTCATGATTGTTTAATAATCAGTACAGACGTTAAAAAGCGATAATTTATGAAAATGATGTTTTCCGAACTCAAGTTAGTGATGTCAATCATGAATATGAACGATACTGACAAACTTTGTTGACGGGAGACCAGTTCAAATAGCCTTGTGAACGTATGCTTCACCGTTGTAAAGTCAGACCAAATTGTTGAACTAGATTGGAACCAGCATAAAATTTTTGTCCATATATTATACAACTGTCAGTAATAACCCACAACGGGGATAACTGAAACGATTTAGCTGCGTATCTTCAGTAACAAAAGGCCAGAGCTATCGAATACATCTATTAGTACTAACAACATAATGAATGATCATCCAAACTTGTCCAGCCTGATATACAGGTATTTCCAGTATAGTCTTATTAGTGAAGTGAATGGTTTATATGGCAATTTGGGGGAAAGTCATGAAAAAATGATTATTACCCCTGTAGTTATTATTTAGAAAAACGTATCCATACTTAAGCATGATTGAAATATAATCACTGGTTCCCCCCAATCACAGTTTAATTGTCGTTGGTAAAAATTGAATTCTAATCAACCTCTAGGATAGTTGAAACCCAAAGAATTTACAGATTTAGGAGCTCAAACCAAAAACGAATTAAGCTTCAAAATGACCTGGAGAAATTATCTGAATGGTCTCAAACTTGGCAGTTGCTGGATAATACTTATGAATTCATTGTGATGCATATTGGTCATCAATGTACAGATACATACATGATGAATAAAGTTAAGCTACCTGTTGTCCAGAAACACAAGGACATGGAAGTCATCGTTATCGAAGACTTAAAAACCACTACGCACTGCAGTACAACAACCATCAAGGGTTTTGTGACACCATGGTCACTATGTAAGGCTTTTATCCATGTCGCCGCTACAACGTTTTACTGACTTTGATTACCGTATTCGTGAGTTCTAAAATTGACTACTGCATACAAGCGGCTACCCTCTACTTATAAAATGAACAGTGAGCCTTTGTAAACGGTTCAAAAAATAGAAAACAAAATGATTTTTGGAAAAGCAGAGCTTTTTTATGATGTTCAATTGGGTAAACTGAACTTATTCCTGTTGTAATATCGAAGAACTAGAGGTGACTTGATTACTGTTTTCAAATTATTTCGTATAAACGTGCATCCAATATGCCCTCATTTTTCTTGTCGTTTAAAACGGAGGATTTTCGAGGGTACACTCAAAAGGTTCACAAGCCTAGAACAAACTGCTTGTCAGCTGAAAATCGACATTCCCACCGAATCATCGACGAGTCGAATTAATCACCTGAACACGTGTTTGAAGCTCCCTCTGTCGACTCTCTCAAAACGTTGGATCAACTGAGAGACCATAATGCGAGAACTAACGTAGATCACTTAGCTCCCTGTCATTTCTAAACTAGAACCGAAAATGATCATCTCAATAGATATTTAAAGCCGCACTATAGACCTCATGGCTTTTTGTTAATGTTTATGATAACATGACACACTTGCTGCCTAAAACGCAAATGAAACTTCTAAAATGCGACTAGTCAATTCAGTAACTCTGACTACCACACATTATCTTCAAACTCCAAGTGATGTTTTTTTAGCGTTCAACGATTGAACGTTCAGAGTCTGCTTCATTTAGATGTAAACGTTACCTTGTTTTCGTGATGTCGTTTCATACCAAGTCAATAGAACGTATCCTCAGCCCAGTAGCTCAACAGGTATTTCCCGCGTTAGCTTAGTCACACGATTTAAAAGGTTTTAAAGCTAATATTGCTGTTTGAGGATGCTGGATCAGGTACAGAGATTCCTGATCTGGAATTTCGTGTAAATGTTGTAAAACTTGCAGTTGAAAACCTTATAAAGGTTAGCATAAACTTATTTTAACCATTACAAAAGGTTGGTCACCAAACAATCGAGGCTAGTGATGACCAGCTGCTACAGAGAGATATGCCGCCTTCACTCAAGCGTGTTGAAGATGCATCTTTTTATCTTCAGGATGCTGTCGTACTGTTGCAAAACGACCCAAACTCTTCAGAAGCACGAAGGAAACTGATAGAAGGATCTAGAGGTAATATATTTTGTTTATATTTTCTTCAGGCATACTACAGGGAACGTCATCTGTGCTTCTTACCTTTGACATGTCTGAAGTACGAAAAATAATCAGACACTGCAGACGAGTACTTAGTGTCCTAGCCACTGCGGAACATGTTTCGAGTCTCACTGGTTTGGCTGATTTTGTTAAGGTAATTACTTGTTAATTCTTGAACGTTGTACAGCGACTAACCCCTTGTATGGCGGATATGATTAAAGAAGTAGACAATCGACAGGAAGAATTGACTATTCAGTCTCACTCTGCCCTGCTTCTTAGGGGTATAGAACAAGTGAAACGTCTTACGCCTATTTTAATATCGTCTTTGAAACTGCACGTAAATACACATCAAAATCGTAAGTTAAATATCTCGAAATGTTTTTCAATTCTTCTGAAGTTGTAAGGTCCTTTGTAGAAGTGAAAATTGTGAATGTACTATCCTGTTATCCATTGTCGATTAGGTCTGGTTATATATGTAGCTACTTTAACCATGATTACGTTCATATACATCACTAAAAATTAGTGGTCAATGAACATGTGTTCCACGTAGTTTATGAATAATGCCTATTTGAATTGCTTATGTTCACATGAGCTCAAATTTAGTCTGTGTTGGCATCTTGATGGTTAAATAATCTTTGCATAACTGTTAATCTTCGGATATGTTCATAGTATTTCTTATTTAACCCCTATCAAATATTTAGTAAGAATATATCCTATGGTGATATGTAGCATATTGGTTGTAAATTTAATTCGTGTTTTAAATGGTCACAGTCAGATTCTCACAACTTAATCTTTATCGAGTTCACTGTTAGTTATTTCATACTTTATCTATTTCGCGCCCAATATGCTGTCGTGTGCAATGTTTAAGCTAGTTACACATTTTTTATACAGATCTACCTGGAGCTGCTGAAAGTCAAGCAAACCGAGACTTCTTGTTGTCTGAAATGTCCACTGAAATACATGAAATTATACGTGGCTTGCAGCTTACCGAAACGGATTCATCAGAGTTATTCGATGATGACTTAGCGGCTATGCATATGAATAAAGCAGCTTTTGATAGCCGTCTACAGTTTGTCAGTGACTGGATTTCTGATTCGAATGTAAGTTGTTCGTATTTTTGTTTATCGACGTGATATAAGATATTTGTAGAATATTTTTTGGTAATAGTTAATATATATTAGTACTTTTGAAAATTCGAGCTGTGATACATAATCCCAGTTTAATATTTTAGGAAATAAGTTTTGTAAGTTATACAGATATGTTTCAGTTGATGAGAATCACTCAATTTCCTACCTACTTTTGTGTAGCACACTTAGTGATCGGAATTATACAGCTTGGTGCATAACTGTATTTTATTGCTCGGTCTTTACAAAAATAGGTTTATACTATTGGGTATTTTTCACTTTTGAAATGTCACCCTTCTGTAACTCAGCTTTTGCATTAGTAGTACTTCTTGTTGAGACAGGTTGATAATAGATGCTAGATAACACACCTTAATATAATTCAGTATTATTTTGGTTTACTTTAATCCAATGGGGAAACTGCAAATCAACAAACTAGAGAGAGAAAATAAGCTAACAATTACAATTTTCTGATATCAAGACCTACCAAATCGTTTGTTCTTGCTGCTTATCAAGTACAGGGTTTATGCACTGGACTTCGCGTCACATTTTTTGTATGACGGCTGAAGATACTATTCAGCTGCCAAAACCCATGTTGATGTAACATTTAGATCTACAACTTAGCTTTCAGATTTCGCATATTTATATATCGATTTAAACACATGAACATTGGTACAAGAAGTCAGCAAATATATACGCGCCGCGAATCATTCGATATTTGTAAGGACTGGAATACTACCCGGGCGCCCAAACTAAAGCAGGTTCGCGTGCCTGAACCACTTTGTCACTGCTCTTAAATATTCTGTTCTATGCTTCACAATCATTCTAGGATGTCCAGATGGTTCCGACGTTAAAATCATAGTTTAACATGGGAAAAAGAAGTTAAACAGTTGAATAATTTTAAAATGAACGGATAAACGAAACTGATTTTTACCCGTTGAATACCTTTATCATTTATCATACTTAACTACCTCACCCCTCTTTAAAGAGCAGAATGTTTAATTGTGTTGAACTGTAAATCCCTTTGATTAAGCTCAGTTTAATAATTGATATTTGTTTGGGTAAAATTAAGTAAAAATATTAAATTACTCGTTACCAGTGACTTTTAGATTATTGTTTTAGGTGGTTTTCTATCTTTTGTCCAAGCCACTGATATTCTGTACGTGAATAAAGTACTCGAAACCTGAAAATTTACAGCCCAGTTTAAAAAGCATCTGTTAACAGATTTTAAATCTTTTGACCTATTAAGTTTTAGAGAGGCTGTTTGAATTATTAGCTCTAACAAATTAGAGAGGTTCGTACATGAAATGTTATATTATTAATTAATTGTTTTTCGCATCCTGTCGAAAACGTTCTTGTTTTATAGACAAGACTAAATGTTATTTTTGTTTACGTAATACAGAACCATCTTAATTAGCAGTTGCTTACAATCTAAGCTACTTGTTAGCCTTTTGACTAGGCGACCAAAGCCAAGCAAATGAAGTCGTTAACATGATTAGACTAACATGTTTGCTTGATTTTTGAGAAATTGCTACAATTCCTGATAATTACACTGTCCAACCCGATGTATAATCGTCACACGACTTATCTAACGACCTTTGGATATCAGTTTGGTTTTGAGTATCCTAAAACCACCAAGGAAAATCTTTTAAAAAAATGGTTGGAAAGTCATTTAAATAAATTAAAGTTGTATATTAATCCTACAAAGAATTGTAGGCAGCACGTCTTTTATTTAACCAGTGTATCTGTATTTATTTTTGGGTTGAGATGGGTACATAAAAATTGGAGCAGCTAATTGTAAGGTAGTATGATTTAAGGATGAATTTATCACACCAATAGCTTCACAGAATAATGTAGGCGAATAAGAACTCTCTTTCTCTGTGTATATGTTGTTCAGTCTCATTCTTTTTTAAATCTCTTGTTTATTTTCTTATCTGTTAGTGTTCCGTTGCAATGACAGCTGGTGAGAAAGCACTGAATCAAGTTTTGAATTCAGCAAGAAATTTAGCCAATTTAAACCAAACAAGTTCAAATAGTAAAGCAATAATCCATTTATGCGATGAATTAAACGATTATGCACAGTCACTTATTCACTTACGAAGAAGTGGTCATGTAAGCGCCTATTGGGTGATATATTATAATATATTTTTTTAAATGTGTGACAGCCGTAACCTTTAGACTGTGTCCACATTTCAATGTGGAATTTTAATAGTTTAGAAGGACGCTACTGAATTTATTGTTAATTTTTTAAGTCAAATGAATTTTGATCCCACAAAAATATTCACAATGTACAGTAAAATTTACCGATGTGTTGGTTATAAATAGGCGCTGTCCTTTTTAAATCAGATAAGGTTAACTTCGCACTAGGTTTTAAAGAAGCATGGTCAGTAAAACCTAGCTTATGATAACCTCCTACACAGATAGCCTCTGTTATTGAGCTACATTATAATATTGATGAGACAATACTGCTCATGTTATTTGTGTTGATTTATAGTTTTGATCCATTTTTGTTCCCAGTTGGTTTCAATAAAACCCTAAGTTATGCCCCTGGATGCCCTCGCACGGCCGAGAGTAGGGAGAGTCCGCTCAACCTCTCAAAATGCTCTCACATGGCTACGCGTATATAGCCTCTGCCAGGGAAGTCTTACTCACTGCCTTCTCGTGGCAGGCGTGTTGTTTACAAAATTGAGAGGACAAAAAGCGAATGTCCGGCGCTTTAGCCGGGTTGGTGGACATTGAGAGTTCACTTAGGGGAGTTGGAAAACCCTGATTCCAAACCAATGGTGCACATGGGCTGGCTTCAGTATCCTGAAGGAACAAATGGCGTATGAACCAATCGTTGGTCACCGGCTACCGTGAGAATGCGTCTCCTTACGTTGCTCCACTGCGGATGTGGCCCCCTAATAAAACTACTTGCTTCTGTTTGGGCACCTGGGCAGTATCACATCCCTCACACATATCAAATGAGATTTGTGTGGGGCATATGTATTTGTTGCCTGCTTGTACCAATATCTATGTGTTAAAATAAATAAATTTCCTAGTTATACTGAAATACCGATCACTTTTTAAAGGCAGTCAGTCATATCCATTGTGTACATCAATTCAAGTTGCTAAACCACATTAGTACAGTGCGCTGAAACTAGTAAAACAAATACCAGTGTGGTAGAATTAGTAACAGTACCAGTAGTTATAAAAGTAATTAAGTATGGAATGTATGATTATAGAAGAAACTATTGGTTCGTGAAATGAAAAAAACTAAGATAATTTAGAAATTTAGAACCTAAAAACAGAGATTATGTATCTACATCATTGAGACTTATTTTGAAATATTTTACCAAACATCTTGAGGTATTCTTTGCGTTTGTTGTGAAGACCCAAACCAGGTAGTCTGCACCTGTTTATAAGGCTCCCAGTGTAATTGTTAAAAATTTCATACAGTTATACGTTGTCTCGATTTGGCAGTCTGTAGCTTTCTTCCAACGTATCACTACACTAAACAACATCTTCCTTTCAGTCATTTGGTAGTTGGCCATGTTCAGTACATGTCCTAATCAGTTCAATCCATGAAGACTCACTACCTCATCAACCAATTTGTCATCAGTTCTTTAAAGTGTAATAATACTTGGACTATAAATTAAAATAATTCACTCCATATCAGTTCTTGTTTTTATCGTAGTTAGTTTCTTCCATGTTACCGAACATAATTTATTCAGTAGTTTACTATCAAAAGCTTATCGACTGATTGTTGTACTATTGGTTCTACTCAGAAAATCAATTATTGTTACGTCATGAATTGATTTAGAAATCAATTGATTGGTCAGTGGAAAATTGTAGGTAACTTGGAAGTTACCCGTAATGCCTAGATTTTACTTTACAAATCTTGTATCGGAAACTTTCAGTGTTAATAAGTAATCTTCAGAAACTAACCAGTATCCATTAGTTATAAAATATAGATAATAATTTTTTCAGCATAAGGTTGTGGAGATTATTGAGTTTTTGATTGAGATCATGAACCGGTTGGTGTTTGACCGCCATTGAAAACCTAGAAGCATTGGACGGCCGTTTCATCCTATGGTGTTTTAACATCAATCGGTTCATAAACTCACTTAAAAACTTAATAATCTCCACAATCCTATACTGATAAGTATCATCTGCTCACTGGTGACTAACTTCGTGGGGGGATTTTCGGAGTTCTTATGAGAAACTGTGACCGGTGGAGTTAATCCATGTCAGGTTGGTACAGGTATCTATCTTAGACAATGGAACATGTTCGCGCAATTTCGTGGATTAGTTGAGGTTAAACATTAACACTGTTGGATGCCAGCTCAGTGCGCGTGCAAGTCTAAAGGTTCTGGGTTGGAATCTCGAGAGTGGGATCTTGGATGTGCACTGCTGTGGAGTCCCACAATGGGACGAAACGGCCGTCCAGTGCTTCCAGGTTTTCCATAATGGTCTAACATCAATCAGTTCATGATCTCAATCAAAAAATTACTTTTTTTGATTTTCATTAGAAGCCTTTTTGATAGGATAGAATAATTGCTAACTAATCCAGGACAAGGTTTAAATTATGCACCATATTTTGCATTTGAACAACAATCATAACTGTTAAGTACTCTAGAATTTAGTAATTCTTCTTTTTTTTCTCTCTGCCAATATCATTTTACGTCAGAAATATTTTGAATTCACAATCCCTTTCATTGTTATTATACTACTAATCAATCTTCTTTTTAAAATACCAAGTCAACATACCCATATTACATTCTTGCATATATATGAATAGACAATTCATATAATCAATATAATGGAAGTAGATTCTTTTGATCCTATATCATAAATTATTAATAATGGAAAAATAACAGAAGTCAGTTCTTTCTTTTGCTTTTTTTTCCCCATTCTTAACTTTATTCTTGGCTTTTACACATATAAATTATTTTACCTTTTATAAGTTTTACAATGTTTGTCTCAAATTCATGCATAGATACACCTACAAGTATTTATCTCCTGTCTCTCTCTCTCCGTGTGTGTATATATACTAAAAGAATGTAACTTAAGATTTTGTTTATTGTACAAGTAACATATTTCTGGGTGTTATTTAAGATGGTTAGTGTGCCCTGAAGGACTGACTTTTAGTCGAACCATTTGTATACGAAGTTATATATACACCTACTCCATTGTGATCGATTCTATTCCATATCACCTAGAATCTCTAACCATTGGTTACGTTAGTTACGCGGACCCCAACCAAGTAGTCTGTATCTACCAACATGGTTAAGACTAGAAGTTAGTGACTTCAAGCACTGATGCTACATTTTGGTTTGGCTGCCCCATAACGTTATTCTAGCTCTCTCCAACACTGGTAATCGATATTCAGGTATACATAACAATGTATATCAATTGGTGTTGCAAATTCACTTTTTGAATTGTTTACAATTTTGTTCTCGATAGATTATAGTGTATAGCTAGAAATTAAATGCACACGATTGTGAAAGTCTACCGACCATCTCCAACCAACTCATATCGAACTATATAGCATATCATGTTGAGTCACTTAGGTTAGTAGCAATATTGTAACTTCACTTATAGAATCTGATCAACATTAAGGACTGATATTTGTTACTACTATGATCACCTAGCTCTAAGAATATCTAAGTCAGTTTCTGCCCGAATAACTTGGTGTTAATATATCAGATTGTGAAACTGAGTGATTCGCGTTTCAATTCTGGGGAGAATATTAGTTCTTTCAAATTCACATGCAAGCTTATAAGATGACTGCCAACTAGCATAAAACCTATGTCATACAGGTTTATCTTCCAACTACTTCCAACCACCTAGCATCAAAGACAAGTTGATATATTATCAAACATTGATTAGTTTTTGGTCAATTAACCAAAATAGGATAGTTTCTCTTTCTTCGTGTACATTTTTAAAATAGTATCAGAATGGGTTTTGTGGAGAGTTTTAGAAATTTTCACAGGTTTAAATCATGAGTCGATTGAAGCTAGACTCATGATTTCAACCTGTGAAAATTTCTAAAACTCTCCACAAAACCCATTCTGATAATAATCAACTGCTCACTAGTGACTGACTTCAGGAAAAACTGGAGTTCTAGTGAGAAGCCGTTACCAGTGGAGTTCACCCAGGTCTGTTGTGAGATAACAACTCACTGAAGACAATGGTGTACGGTGGCGCAACTTCGTGGATTGGTTGAAGTTAGACATTAACACCGTTGGATGCCGGCTCAGTGGTCTAGTGGTTAAGTGCTTGCGCGCGAAGCCAGTAGGTCCTGGGTTCGAGCCCCGCGTGGTGCGGGATCGTGGATGCACACTGCTGAGGAGTTCCATACTGGGACGAGACGGCCGTCCAGTGCTTCCAGGTTTTCCATGGTGGTCTAGCTTCAATCGACTCATGATTTCAACCTGTGAAAAATTTTAAATAGCTTTGGATTAATCAATTTGAGTATATTTGAGGCAAATTTTCCTGAATTTGCAATAGAACAATATTTATTGGACCTGGTAAGAAAAATCGGGCTATTATGCAACATATTCTTGATTCCATGAAGCAAACCAATACAAACCCGGGAATTGTTCACGATAACCTGTAACACACTATAAATAGTTTAAAAAAAGCTATTATTGTTATGTTGATCTAGAGATTACATGATCAAAAGTGTTGTTGGTGACCAATACTGGGGAGTTTCAAACTGGAGTTCCTATAGTTTTCTAGTGAAATCCAGTTGGCAATTGAAACTACTTTTTAAAAGCTTTATTTTTCAGTTTTTTACCGTTAGATTTGTATATATACATGAATAAGTCAACTATTATCTATATACGCAGTTCAAATTCTTGTATGTGGTAATATATGTTAGAGGTATGAGGGTAGTTATCACTTCCCGGTTGCCCACACCGTGGAAGGGTTGTTCTGGAGGTACCTGAAAAGGAAATTGGATTAGAGGTGGTCTTAGTGACCTGGGAGCGTGACCGCAGTGCAGTAAAAAGATTGATCTACACAGAGAATGACTTGATTATTCATCACAGTGCTTCGAAATAGAGTCGTGTTTTATTTGATCCACATTTATTTAAGGTCACTCTCTTGGTATCCTAAACATTAAGTTC